TCGCCGCTCAGACGACTGAGCAGTGCCTGGCTGGGGGGTCTCAGCAGGGCACGTTGCTCCTAGTTCAGGGAGCTTCCCGCTGAAAACATCCCCTGAAACGTGGCCTAGGGCAGCGTTGGCTGGTGCGAGGGGCCCCACCCCGCAGGACCTGGGCTGGGCACTTCAGACCGCAAGCTTCTTGGTGCTGTGAACGTGTCGCTGTGGAGGGGAAGTGGAGCTGAACCTCGGGGAACGCGTGTCAGAGCGAGCAGCCAGCTCCCCCCGTGGGGTGGGGGCCCCTCTTGGACTGGCCTGCAGGGAAGGATCACACCCAGCCCCATGGCAGGAGGGATGCAAGGAGCATCTCCAGCTCATCTGGCTGCACTCACCGACTCGGCCAGCAGCTTCTTGCTGGCCTCGCTCACGGTGCGAATGGCGGCGTCCACGTCCCGCTGACCTGGGAGGCAGTTCACGCAGCGGTTCAGGGCCTGAGACACGGCCTTGGCCACCTGCCAGGAGACAGGGACAGTCAATTGCACATGCGCATGCCTGCTCCTCCCTGGTACCCCCTTCTCCGCAGACCTGTCCCTCGAGGGTGAGTGGTGGGCACCTTCCCTCAGCCCCACTGCTGGGGACAGGGAAACCCTCAAGCCCACCAGTGCCTGGGGATTGGGGCTGGCGGGGGCTGCTGGGAGCCTTGCACTCCCCTGGGCCAGGTGCTACTGGCTCTCAGGGTGGGCGGGCTGGGGGCCGCTGGGGGACCCGCATTTACCTGGGCCAGGCGCTGCTGGCTCTCAGGGTCGCCCAGCTTGGGGGAATGCTGGGGGCCGGGCTGGGGGCTGCTGGGGGTCCCGCACTCACCTGGGCCAGGCGCTGCTGGCTCTCAGGGTCGCCCGGCTTGCCCACGCCCTTGCGCGCCTCCTCGATGAGGTTTCCGGCTTTATCCATGACGTCGCCAGCGCACTCCAGCATGGCACTCTGCACTTGGGGGTCGGACGTGTTGGCTGCGACGCCGCGGGCAGCCTGGCTGAGCGAGCGCAGGGCCTGGGCCACATCCCGGGCAGCGATCCCTGGGAGAGACGCGAGGCATTGACCCAGCGTGCAGAGAGCCTCCCTGACCCACAGCCACCAGCGGACCCCTCCCCTGCTCAGACATCCCTTGTGCAGGCAAGGATCGGCCCCTGCCCTAGGCAGCCCAGAGCTGGACAAGCCTTCCCAGCCACGGGACCAGCCCTTGCTCCCTCCCCCATGTCTTCCATCCGGGCCCACAGGGCCAGCCCCTTTCCCCTGCCTCCCCCATCCGGGGGGCTGGATGGTACAGTATTCCTGCCCACAAGCACTGGTCACAGCCATCACATTTACCTTCCTGCTGTCACCCTACGCTGCCACGACAGGCTGTCACCCCCAACGTGAGCCATCGAGGGCACATGTGCACAGCACCCATCACTGGGGCAGGGCTGTACAGGGCCACGAACACAAGGCAGGCCTGGGCCTGCTCCCCTGCCCCCAGGCGTGGAGGGCTCTGCCCTGGTACCTGTATAGTTCTCGTTGCCCTGGGCCACCTCCCCCAGCAGCTGGGCGATGGCGGAACTGACGGCCTTTGTGCTGTTCCCCAGGTCCTGGGCGCACTTCTCCATCTGGGGACAACCAGAGAGGGTTCACCCATCACCCCACAGGTCACCCCCTCCTACTCCTCCCCCAGCCCCTTACCCCCACTCCTTACGCCAACCCCCACGCACCCACCCTCCTACCCCCCTCCTCACCCCAACTGCCCATCAATCCCACCACCATCTCACAGCCCACCTGCTGTCCCTCCTCCTGCCTGCACCCACACACCCATCTACCTCCCGGGGCCCTTACCGTCTCCCCTGGCAGGGGCTTGAGCTTTCCGTCTCTGGCAGCAGCCTTGGCTTCCTGCAGGTCTCGTTCCAAGCTCTGCACCATGCTGAGCGCCGTGTCTATCTCCAGGGGCCCACAGGTCTCCTGAGCCTGCAGCAGGAGAAAGGAACTGAGCGACATGGGCAGCAAACCCCGCTCCTGGCAGCTCTACTCTCCTTTCTCGGCTAGTGCCCTCCGGGGCAGGCCAGGGCGGAGCCACTTACCTTCTGGGCAGCTGTCCGGAGCTCGGCCAGGGCTGCGGCCAGATTCTTGGCACACTGGCTGAGCTGCATGGCAGAGGCCTGGTCCGTGATGGTGGGGACAGTGGCTTTGGCTGCAGCAACCATCTTCCCACCAGGCTGTGGGGTGGAAAGGATAAGCCATGAGAACAGGACAGGACAGGAGGCAGCACTCCCATCCCATGCCCAGCAGAGCCCCTGCACTCTGGGGGGGCAGGCAGGGAGATCCCAAACCCAGGGGACGGAATCCACATGTCCTAAGCAGACAAAGCCACTCAGCTTGCCACCAGCAGAGGGTGAGGCCAGCCTGCACCAGAGACGAGGTGAGGGGAGTGCCAGGGCACAGGTCCCCATGCCAGCTGCAGGGGGGAGCCCGGCTGGTACCTGCAGGAAGTTCTGGCTGGCCGAGATGAGCGCGAGCTGAGCGCTGGGGCTATCTGGCTGGGACTGGCTTCCTCGCACGCCCTGTACCAGCATCGGGATCTGATCCGCCACCACCTGCAACCAGACAGGAGAGTGAGTCAGTGGAGAGCCCAGAATGGGCAGCGTGAGTGAAACGCACTGCACGGTCAGGGAGTGGGCCCTACGACAGGCCTGGGGCAGAGCTGGGCTCCCTGATCTCCTGCTCAGGACAGGCCATACAGAAGGGTGAACTGGTGCAGAGCTGGGACAGACTGTGCAGAGAGCAGAGTCGGATTCCCATGCCCTTCCCCAGCCAGGAGAGGCCACTCCAAGAGCAGGGACTCAGAGCTGAAGGCCAGGAAGGGACCAGCAGATCCCCTAGTCTGACCTGCTGCGTGGCACAGGCCCTTGAATGCCACCCTGGCCCCCCGCCCGGAGCCCCAGAACTTGTGTGTGACTGAAACAGCTTCCGGGAAAGGCAGCCAGGCTGGATCAAGAGACAGAGAATCCAGCACTGCCCACTGTGGGAGTTTCTCCCAGGGTCAGTCACCCTCGCTGTTAAACATTTGGGCCTTATTTCTAATCTGAATGTGTCTGGCTTCAGCTGCCAGCCAGTGGTTCGTGCTCTGCTTGTCTCCGCTAGGAGCCTTTTCTCCCCGGGGAAGGTAGTTACACACTGCAAGCAAGTCACCCCATGACCTTTCAGCAGACTGAGCTCTTTGAGTCTCTAACTGGTCCCAGGATACGGAGTTAGTCACACCAGCGCCACACACAGAGGTAAATTCACCTCCCTGCTCCCCTGTTTATACATCCCAGGATCACATTAGCCCTTTGTGCCACAGCATGGCACTGGGAGCTCATGGGCAATTGTCCACTGGGACACCAAAATCCTTCACAGAGCCACTGGTTTCCAGGGTACAGCCCCTAGCTCTCGGAGGCATGGCTGCACTCCTTGCTCCTGGATGGAGAACTTGGCATCTGACTGCATTAAAACACATTTTGTTTGAGTGGGCCCAGCTTATGAAGTGACCCAGATCACTCTGTATGGCTGCCCCGTCCTCCTCATTATTTACCGCTCCGTCAACCTGCGTCATCTGCAAATTTTATCAGCAGCGATTTTATATTTATTGACAGATCATTAATAAAAATATCCAATAGTGTTGGGCCTAGAACTGATCCCCACAGAACCCCACCAGAAACTCCCCCATTCAATGAGCGTTCACCATTGACAACTACTCCTTGAAATCCACCCATTAGCCAGACCTTAGTTCATTTAACATGTACTTTACTGATACAACAGGGCTAATTTTTAATCAGAATGTCATGTGGTACAAAGTCAGACCCTTACAGAAGTCTCAGTATATTACATCTACACAGTTACCTCTCTCAATCACACTTGTAATCCCAACAAACAATGAAATTGGGTTTGTTTGACAAGACCTGTTCTCCACAAACCCAAGCTAGCTGACGTTAATTATGTTCCTGCCATTCAATTCTTTATCAGTTGACTCCCTTATCACTTTTCCACCATTTTGCCCAGGATTGAGGTCAGACTAACCAGCTAATAGCTACCCGGGTCATCCCACTTGACTAGAGCTCTGAAATTTCCCCAGTATTCCAAGGTTTATTACAAAACAAATCAGCAAGGTCAGAGATCTCCTTCTAGGATGCTTGGGTGCACGTTATCTGAACCTGCGGATTTCAACAGGTTCGTCCCTAGTGGATGTCGTCGAACATCCTCCTTAGTTATTAAAGGATTGGAAAGTACTTCCTCATCCTCGTGTGATACAAGTGCATTGGCCTGCTTCTTACCAGATACAGAATGTCTCCCTCTTCTGCATCACTCACTGTTTCACCATCTCCATTTACTAATGGGACTATGCCACTGCTAGGCTTTATTTTGCTTCCGATACATGAAAAAATCTCTCTTACTGTCAGCCCTGCCACCCATGGATTTCTCCCTTTCTTTAGCTTCCCTTATCAATGTTGTGCACTTTACAACTTCCTATTTATACTGATTGCTATCTACTTCTCTTTTCTTCCAGTTGTTAATATATACATATTATTTCTAGTTGCTGCCTTCATTGCCCCCTTAACCAGGACAGCCTTTTAACCCAAGCTGTCTTATTTCATGTTTACGGAATTGTAGCTTTTTGGTTATCTAATAATGCCCCCCAGCCAACCAGCAAGAGGGTGCTCTGAGAGCAGGGTCCGCCCCCCTCCCTGCCAACCTGAGAGAAGCCATTCTGAGAGCAGGGATACCCCCCACAACCCTGGAGAAGTTCCTCCCACCCTGAGAGGGGGCACACCAAGAGCAGGTACCCCCCAATCCCTCCAAACTGGGAGAGGCTGCTCCCATCCCCCCTGCCAACCTGGGAAAGGTCACTCAGAGTAGGGATCCCTGCCCACATTGGGAGAGGCCACTCCCACCCACCCCCATGTGGGAGAAGCCACTCTGGGACCCCTAAGCAGCCCCCAGGCCTGGGCCGCAGGACTAAGATCCTGGCATCGCATGCTACCTCCCACAGTCGGCAGTGAAATGCTTTCCATGGGGCACTGCAGCTCCCCATCCCCCCGGGGGCTTCTCCCGTGCCCAGCTCTGACGCCAGGTGGAGCACGGGCTCAGTGTGCGCAATGTCTGGCGGGGGCAGAGCAGCAGGCAGGGGAAGGGCTCGGTGGGGTGACCCTGCACTGCGACTGCTGGGACGGGGCGGCCCAGGGGGATCGGGAACACCCTGCTCCTTACCTTGCAGCTCTGCACCAGCTGCTGCTGCGCAGCTGGGTTCTTGTTGGAGGCGGCGGCATGCTGCGCGGCGGCGATGGTCTGCGTGGCAGAGGCTGCAGCCTGCTTGGCTGTGTGCTGGCAGGGAGGAAGCAGCAGGTCCGTCAGAGCTGCCTGATGCCCAGGCCCAGCAACCCCAGCCCAGGGCTCCCTCCTGCAGCTGGCCCTCTGCCCCTGGGGCTCTC